AAATAACAAATTAAGACTAATTAATATTTCAACTATAATCGAAGATAATTTAAATGGATAGTATGTTTATTATTAATTATTAATATTGAAAAGATTGGTTCATGCTTTGGTAGATAAAACGGCAGGACCAATTTTCCCTTTCTCTTTTTTAGCATGTTAATTAGTAATATTTAAAACTTTTTTTTTTATCTTGATTGTATAATGAGAGACAACCATCTTCCATCCTTTATTTTATCTTACTTACATGTTATGCGATTTGAACTCAAGTTCTTTTACTTCTAACAAAAGAAAATAACCACTGAGTTATTTAGGTCGTTGACAGTAATATTTAAAACTTAAAAAGCGAAGAATAAAGGTTAGATTATAGAAATTTAAGACTTTTAAGATACTTTTAACCACTGAATTGTGGCATCCCATTTGTTAGCCCATGCAGAATGCAGCATCAAGCACTGGACCTCTATTGAAGATTTCTTGGGTCTTCTACGGTGGCCCTTAGAGAAATGGGCTATTAGAACTGAATCTTGAGAACTTCATAGGCCCAATTTGAGCCAGGCTTTTGCCGCTGTGTCTCTGTCCAATGGACTAATGCGCTAAATGCATAAAAATCATTTTTATCTAGTGAACTGCGAATTAACAATTAAAAGATTTTCTATATCAAATCTCTTTCAAAGTTTCAAATTCTTTCCTTTTTTGGATATGTGCAAAAGATCGTCATGGTTTCTTTAGAAAGCTAAATTCTCTCAACATATTCGCTCAAATATTGTTTAATCCAAATAAAACATACCCCCACGTTTTTGGTCATAAAGAAAAAAAAACGTCGAAGCAAAGGACAACTCTTAAATCTTATTTATAAAAAAAAAAGGACAACTCTTAAATCTTATTGTAATCCATAGTGATCGAATCAAAATGAGGTCAACAGACTGAATTTATTCCTCCACACTCCATCCCCTTTACAAACTAATAAAGGCATCCATGTAGCTTCATTTTTGTTAAGTTCTCAAACTTTAAAAAATTCTCGACAGGATTGTATCTAACCTACAATCTCATGCCACTCATAATCTCAATAATCTTAAATAGGGTTTTTTTTTAATGTATGCTTTAAAGAAACATGTTAATGATATTTCTTTAATATTAATCAGTATTAAAAAAATAAAAATTGACCTTTATTTAATTATTAATTAATTAAAATGATTTATATAATATTGATAGTGAAATTAAAATTGTACAAAAAATTATTTGCATGTCATTACCTCACTCATAATATTAAACTCAAAATTATATAATGACATCACAAATTAAGTTGGAAGTTTGTTTCCCAGCATATTGATCAAGATTTAACTTCAAGGATTGAATCAATGGTAAGTAAATGTTTTTGTAGGTTAGTTTTGAAATTTAAGCCTTAAAACGATTGTTTTAAAAAATTTAATTTTTTTGAATGTATCAAGATCATATGAAAAG